CCCCAATGTTTTTCTTCAACATCTTGCTGTCCCTGTCATTGGAACCGTCCCATTTTGGAAAAAAGGAAAAGTGATCAGCATCACCAGCAAATCCAACAGTGTGTGCACATCCAGTTGGGTGTTCACCACTCAAATATAGATCATGAGTGCCAGAGAAGAAGGAGTAGGACTCTAAAATGCCCTGGCCTGTGATGACATTTGTCTCTTCTTCTAGATAATATTAAATATTAATTTACTTGAACATATAGAGCAGGCACTTCCAGGCCCTTTTAAAATGTTAATACAATTAATTTGTCATCCTTCATTGCTAGAGATGTTCTTATAGCTCTGGCTAATAAAGATCCCTCTGAGGAAGCAATACTTTGAATATACCAGATGACAGGGCTGTGTTGTATTCATTAAATAGCTCCAAAGAGCATGTGTCCAGAAAAAGATGGTTTTGCCAGAGAAAAACAGTATCCCCACCCCCTAGTTCCCTTATGAAGAAACATCTCCAGCACAGAGCCAAGCAGCAAGACTGGGAAGGTCCTCTCTGTGTGGGAAGGTGAGAGTGATCTCCAGAGCAAAGATTGTGTTACTCACTGGTGGAAGTGTTATTTAAGAGGAGAACCTCTGCACTATGGACCTTGCATCTACCTACTGCAGGACAACAGATGTGTTAAATTCTCTGCTACATCTTGTTTTCCAAACCATCACTGGGAGGTCACTGCACCACTGCAGCAAGTAAAAACCTCAGTTACAGACCAAGACCCCTCCATGCCAGGCTTTGCAGAACTCAGGCTGTCCCAGAGGGTTTATAGGAAGTGGAGTTGCAGTGTGTAGGTGCTGCTGTAACACTGAGCCAGATGGTTCAGGGACTGACTTCAGCTCATGGAATCTGGCAGAGCTGGCCCCTATGGATGTGGTAGGGCCCTGGACAGGCTCTGGGCACTGTGGATGTGTGATGGTTCTTTTGAACTAGCCAGTGCTACATGGCAAACACTCCTGTTATTTCTCCACAAACCACCACAACATCACCATCTCCGTCCTATTTTGCTTTTGAGAGCTTAAAAGGTGACTACCAAGAATTATATGGTACAGTTTTAAATTTAATGAGGTTCTCTTTAGCCTCCATAGGTAGAATCTCTATGAAAGCAGAAACCAGGACATTTTTCCATTAAGTTCAGAGACCATCAAAAACCCTAAGTGAACTTCCAAGAGTTCACTTAGTAACTCAGTGACAAGGTACAGAGACCTCCAAAGGGCAATTAAGCTTATGCTAGACTCTGAATCCCTTCTCTTTCTGTTGAGGACAGAAGGACACCTGAACAAATACCTTTCTAGACTTTTGAGACAGGTCGAATTGTTTTGCAGTTCATTTCTCTTACAAGATGTGAAGCTGCAAGGGTGAAAAGTAGCTATGATACACCTACACTGTGGGGAAACACCTCTTTGTAGGCTCACAAAAGGTTTTGCTTCTGATTAAACTTTTCACCAAAAGTGAACTGCATCAGCTATTCTTGAGGGACTCTGCATTAGAAAAATTCTAGCCCTAATGCAATGTCAGCTGTTTCTCCTCAGCCAACCAGTTGCTGTACTTACAGAAAAGAGATTGCAGCTCAAGCCTTCTTCAATCTAATTTTAAATTAATTGGCACATGGCTCCTTCTGGTCTCCACCCAGAACTCTCCCCATATCATGTCCTAATCACTGTCTGGCTGCTACACCCTCATCTTCATCAGAGTGACACACCAGAATTCCTGCAGCCACCTTTTGCTTGCTTTGGTTTCAGGCAGTGACATTTTAGCTTTAATCCCAGAGTTAGTGGTCATTACTTTAGTCTTTAATCTTCATGAGAGACTAATGAGAGGAGATAATCCTTGTATAAATCACTGTGTAACAAGAAAAGCAGTTGATTTTTTAGAAGATTTAAAACTCAGAAGACATTCTTGGTCAAATCCAGAGGTCTGTTTACAATAATTTGGACAGAGAAAGGAGGAACTCAATTTGGTGTCCTGAATCCTCACAGCTAAACAATTAACTTCTTAATAGTACTTTGTTTTTCTATAACACCACCTTCTATCTGAACATCTCCTATCTTTGTACAAGGTGCCTGCTCTGGAGCCATTTACTGAAATGATTTTTATGTTTTCCCATCCCTGACTTGATTGATGCTCCCATCCTGTTTAACATGGAAAAGCAGAGGTTCTTCAGCAGGAGCACTTGGTGACACCAGCACCCTGAACTTGGAGCCTTGTGGTCATGAGGTTATTTCTCATATGTGTGCATGCTGAGCCCAAAGCAGCCTGGCTTGTGGATACCCAGGCACTACCTCTCCCCCCGTGCAGCACCCAGGGCCTGAGAGGTATTGGAGTGAGCAGTTCACCTGGCTTTTGTTGGGAAACTCTCCCCTGTGCTCACACCTTCCTTTGTGGCTTTTGGGAGAACCCAACGTTGTTCTTGGGATTTCTGAGTGCTGGAGAGCACAAAGAGCATTTCATATGCAGGAATACTCTATATTTAATGTGCTTGAGTGTGCAAAGATTTTCGAGGGTCCCGTCCACTGCTTTTAGTAAACTGAGGCACATAAGAGCATGGCTCCCTATAACTAGCCAGTGCTCAGTAGGATGTCATAAACATCTCTGTTTTAGGCAGGCAGTGGGGTTTAAAGCACGGGCACCTCACTTCAGAAACCTGTTCCCATGATTTTTGTGGCAGGAGAGGCAAAGGGAGCTGTGCAAATAACAAGGAACAGTTTTAGGGCCTGTTAGTCACAGGCAGCAGCATTTAACCAACACTTTAAACAAGACTTTGTCTCCTGCTCTCCCCTCCTGCCAATCCCATGCTCCTTTCGTGCAGTGACCAAGCAGAAATCCTGAAGACAGCTCCTCCCTCTTTGGGAACTTGTCCTTTCTCTGCCAGTATTTCTTCAGGCAGCATTCAATCCCCCTTGGCACGTCCCAGCCCTCACTAGTGTCAGCATTGCATGAGCTTGATGGGAAAAAGACACTCCAAACTTTGAGGGCTGAGAACCTAATTACTTCAAAAGTGTCTTTATGCCATTATATTCCCATTAAAATAATAATTTATCACTCTTAATTGTACTCTTAACGATGCTTGAAAATAATGGGCTTGAATCAATACCGTGCCCAGTGTAAATGTGGTGGAAGAGCAGGGAGGATCTTAGCAAGGCTGATTTAATTTCCATTATTTTTTGGCTGATCTGGTATTTTGACAGAGTTATCTGCATTCAGCACAAGCTCCTGCCATGCAGGTTTATCCTGCTGAGGGGCTCAGTGAGCCCCAGGAGTTGCACGTCCAGTGATGCATATTCATGCAGCTGGGGCACTTGAGCTAAGGGCACATGCCGTGAAGAGTTCATCTGTATATATAAAAATCATCCTTTTTTTTAGTAGATTCCCTTGCTGTCTTGGTTATTGAATAGATTTAAAAGCAACAGAAGATCCTTTGAGGAGCTCTAATGTCTGGAGTTTTGGGTTTCACACAAAGTTCATCTCCCAGTTCCCTCTACTTCTCTGTGTGCAGTGCAAGTGTCTCTCAAAGGTGGTGGAGAGTCAGTGTACAGAGCAGTAGCCCAGGAAAACCCAGGAATATTTCTGCACTAATGGCAGTTTTCAATGCTCTGATTGCTTTGATTTTGAAACCTTCCTCTGAAGAATGGCTGGGAGAAACACAGCCCAGACCAACTTGAACCCACAGCAGGTCTTTCCCTGCTTGGCACTAGAGTGGCTCCAGTCAGGGTCTGTGCAAGAACCCCTAAGCTCTTTTGGAGAGTATTTTACAAAGGCATGAGAAATTACACAGATTTATTCTACTCTGACACTAACCCCACCTCCACCCTCAACTATACCTTTCAGAAGATTGATTATGTTTTGTTTTCCCAGTTTCCCATCCAGGCCAGTCACATCAGAGTATTTTCCTCCTTCTTTCCACTCCCTGAGCCCTCATTTTTGATTCTGAGTGTGGCACTGCAATGCTAGGGCTAGAGCTGATAGAAGGCTTGGAAAGAGGCAGCAGAAGTGGATGCTGGAGGAAAATCTGCTGGCTGAGACACCAAAGCTTGGAATTTGGAACACCAGAGGCCTCCTGAGAGCACCCTATGGGAGAAGAGACACAGTTTTGGTTTATGATTTACCAGACTGAGGAATAAAAGCAATACTGTCCTAACTATCTGGTCTGGCCACTCATCCTCCTTAGCTCCATCTCTGTCAGCATGCAGAATGAGCCAAGGGCTTTTTCTGGCTTTCTGGTGAGTGGCTGAGCTTTGCTTCTGTGGGTGAGCAGGATGGCCATGTCCAAACTGCTTGTTCGAAGTATCCCTTGATCCTTTTAGCTCCAAAGTCAGCACAGCTTTGACTGGGAAAGTGCTGTCAATATTATGATGGACATCGTGGCAACAGGCAAACGGGGATGGGCAGTGTTCAAGTCTTTGCTGAGGCCATGCTCAGTTTAGCCCTGCAAATGTGGGATGATTTGTTGCTCTTCAGCATCCTTTGTATGAGATCCAAACAAAGAGGACTTTCATTTTTTTGCAAAGGAGATAATTAGTGTCCTATTAACTGGACATGGAGAATTTGAGTGTACAGGCAGGTAATCAAGGCTCTATTTTTACTTTTTTTTTTTAGATATGTGACTACTAATTCACATATTCCTCGTTTGGTTGACCTGTTTTTGCTTAAGGAAAAGTTAAATTGGGGAAAAGATAAACAAATTAAAGACTTTAATTTATCCCTGCTCAACTCAGTTTCTGTCCATTATGTGACCTGATGTGCTTTAGAAACCTTTCAGCTAAAATTGGGTTTAGCCTTCCTAGCAACACCAAGCCAGGTAAATGACACACAGGATGCTGCTGGGGCTTTGACTCAGCCAAATGGGAGTAAATTAGTTGCTCTGCTATTCATGTGTGTCTCTTCCCCCAATTTCAGTTAATTAAATGCAGGGAAGAGTGTATTTTAGTTAGTTAGTTAGTTCTTTAATGCAGCTTGTTGAACACTGCTAAAATCAGCTGTCTCCCATTTCATAACTAGCTGCAAAGGAATATTCTGTATAAGCAGACCTACTTCTTCCCACATCTATGGTTAACAAGCAAATGAACCTATATATCCACATCTCCAAAGGGAAAGTTTTTTTTCCCATGTGAAATCTGATATCCCAGATTTTGAACTACAGCTTCACTGAAGCTAGAGGAGAAGTTTTAGGAGGATGATGAAATATTTATTCCAGGTTCAGACTTTAAAGTATGAGTTATGGTTTCTGGAGTGTCCAGGGATACTTTGTGATGGTGAGTATTCAGGGTAAATGGGGTATGGATATCTGCTTCATGCTTTCATATCTTACAGCCTGATTCCTGCCTTCTTGTGGGAAATATCTTTGAGCATTATGGGAAAATGCATATTGATGAACTTCCCAATATATAGCCAAGTTTGTCTGCATTCTCTATTTTTTCATTAGTCACTAACCATTTCTATTAGACAGAGCTTTAGCTCCCAGATGATAAATTCAGGAGAGGAGGTGGTGTCTCTTCCTGCTCTGCAGTGGGATCTAATGGCTTCTTTGCTGCAACAATAGAGAAAGCATTTAAAGTAATGTCCCTTATGGATAGTCTCCAGCACATGGAACAACTTTTTTTTTTATAGTACTCATTATATTTAGCAGTGAAGGAGAGAAAAATTGTGAGCTCTTCTTTTAAAAAGACCGTGGTTTAAATAAAACCCAAAACCATAGCTTTTTTTTTTTTTTTTCCCTTGTTCTTGTTATGCCTTGTCACTGGAGATTGTGGAAGGCAAAAATGATCATATACAGTTAATGAGTCCTCCCTGTCCTGTGCACAGCTTAACCTCACCCTAAAAAAACATCTCTGCAGCATCACCTGCCTTCAGCAGATCCTGTGACTGCTGTACAGAGCTGCTGTTGTTTCTGACTGGAGTTACACTTCTGATGTCTCTGTGAACAGCAAAGCAAATACATATGGGAACAGAAATGTATAGAATTCCTTCCCTGCCATGTTAAAGCAGTGGGAGCAGAGAAGGTAAAATATTTAGACTCCAGATGTCTTTATTTGCCAAAATAAAAATTTGTGCTGTAAAATATCTATAAAATGTAATTAAAATTGCCATTTATTTTTCTCACTGTTGCTAACATTGCTGGCAAAATTGAGTCAGTCAGTGCTGCCAAATATAGCATTCCAGGTGTAAAACACTCTCAGATGTTCATGACATTTTGCACGTAAATACTGAGTCATTGAGAATGATCTGGTACTATCCATATGCCTGATACAGAAATACTGCCATGAGTGGGAGATCAGTATACACACACAGCAGGATAATGTTTGAGAATGAAAAAAATTGTGTTTCTGCATAGTTTCTAATAGAGTTATGGGACATTTCATGTACTGATACATCTTCTCTCAAGACTTTTGCAGAGGAGGGTGACCACAACCTTCCATACCCCTACTTACTGCTCCATCCCTGAACAGCAAGTTGTAGATTTCTTTCTCATAGTGTTTTCTTTTTCTATTTTTTTTTTTTTTCTTAAAGTAGCCTGTGTGTGAGGGACTTGAAAACCTGAAGTGCTGATGACATCTCAATATACAGAAGGTAATAGCCCAGTGCCTGGTACCATTCTCTTCCAGCCACCTTTTCAATCTGCCTTTTGGCTGCTGCTTCACTGCATCAGGCAGTAATATAGGCTGTGTGTTCAGGCATCATAATTTCCTGGAAAAATGGATGTGTTTCTGGAAATCATATGGGAATGGTGCACCCTGTAATCAAGCTTGCCCTGGGAGAGGCAGTGCTTGGTGGCATATAAACCGCTGAGCTGAGATGAATAATTTCTGCCTGACATAAATGAATGTCCTCACCAGTTACAGGAGGAAAAAACATCCTCTCTTGCCACAGGTATGTGAGTCTGGTGTCAGGCTTGTGCTGGAGCATACATTGTGGGCAGTCAGGCTGTCCTGTGCTGCAGTGAGACCCACGAGGGCCTTGGAGAGAGCTCAGGCACCTGCACTGCCTTCTTGGCACCCCTCTATCTGCCTTTCTCCATGTGATGGTTCAACCTTCCCTGCTCTCCCCCAGTCTCCTATTCCTCTCTCATTTGAACCAGTGACAACATTTCATCTGCAGACTTTGTCTTGCTCCATAAAGCAGTGGATGACCAGACACATTATACCTGTTTTGAATGGAAAAAAGTGCTTAACTTTTCCTGTTTCCCTCCCTGTCAAGGAAAATACACTGAATTGTGCTAATGCAACATCCCTGACCTGCTTGCTCTACAATTTTCTTTACTTTCTCTCTGGTTTCTTTCACCATTTCTTCTTGTTACCACCTTACCATTGCCCTTCTTGTTAGGGCATTTCTTCTTGTTGCCATCTTTTGCATTGCATTACTCACTCTGCATCTCCACATCACTTCTCCTTCCACCAATTCCTTCTTTTCTTTTTACCCAGTTTCACTTTCTGTTTATTCATCTTCTTTCTCCTGCCCATTTCCCTAATCCCTTTCCCCAGGCATTTCCCTGATGTCTCACCATGTGTAGGACAACTTCACTAGAAGAATTTATAGGTGCTATCAGGAGCTCATTAAATTGTACTAAGGATGATCGAGTCTGTATGAAAGGTCATTAAACTGGAAACATGATTTTCCTATTTTCATCTTATTTTGCATGAAACGCAAGAGCACCCCCATTTCCCTGTTCAGTTCTGTGTTCTCATCTGTCTAACTCAAGAAAATTAAATTATTAGAGACTAGGCTTGAAATAGATTTATAAAATAAATAGAATGAGAAGGGATGGATGAGAAGAATTCACCTTTCCACACTACAGAGAAGTTAAAATCTGGGCACTATTAGCAGAAATTTGCATAACAACTTAGATGCTTCTTAGCTTTTAACCCACTGCCTTCTGGGGCAACTTGTGTAAGAACTCCACTATCCTTCATGTTAAAAAAATTGTTTTCCCTTTTCTGTTAGCTGGCCTATCTCTGTGCTCTAAACCACTCAGGTTTTCTTTCCCTCTGTAGACACTGAGAACAGTGAATCAGAATTATTTTGATATCAACCTTTCAGACACTTGAAGGTGATTAACACACAGTCACAGACCAAGTGATTTAATTCCTTTTTCATCATTCCTGTTTTTCAGCACCTGAATCAGTCCTGATGCTCTGGGCTCCCTCCAAATTGTCAAACTCTTTCCCACAGAGCAGTGCTGAGCACCAGACACAGTCCTCCTGCTGGAGCCTCCACCCTGTCAGGTTCAGTGAAGAATTCCCCCTGGGGCCCTAGGTGAGTGATGGTGTATAAGAAGTCCCTGAGTGCCATGTACCTTGTTTGCAGCAGTGTCACAGGGTTTGAGTACAGAACACAGGCGCTGTGGAATCTGTTTCTGTGTGTGATACTCTGGCTTCTCCACAGCAGCTCCCTGCGGGGACTCTCCAGGCTTGCATTAACAGCAAGTGCCTGATTTCATTCAAAAGTGAAATTGTGAACAAAGGTGGAATTCAGCCCAGATGAAATCCTACCTTCTTGTGCCCATAGACAGCTGTCTGCCTGTCAGCAGGGTGTCTTAATTTAGCCACTCCAGAGGTATGGCAGGGATTGAGTGCCTAAGGAAAGCCATCCAGGACTGCTGAAGCTGCCCAGGGAGTGTCACCTCACCCCTGGACACCCGTCCCAGCAGGCAGGATTGTCATTAGGCTCTCTTTTGTGTCTCTGGCTACAACTGAGCTGAGCCCTGGTGTCTGCTGTAGAGCTGAATCTCTTGCCAGGAGCCACAGACTGTTGACCAAGGAGCCACAGAGTCCTGTGGAGCTGTTTCTGTGCAAGTTAGATTTCTGAGAATACATTTAATTTAGCTGATGGAGGTGCCTTCAGCACATGCCTTTACTGAAATCTGCCTCCCTTTGAGATGCCCTTGATTCCCCTGCCTGGCAACAGCAATCTGCAGTTTACAGATCACAGGGCATCGCTCAAGTGCTAAAAATATGCACAACCCCATGGACAATGAGTAATTCCCCCATTTGCTCTGCTCTGTCACTGTGTTGGTTGGTTCTCCACAGGATACCCAGGGCTCAGCTCCATTGTCCACACATGGAGGATAAGTGTGGTTTGAGCTGCCTCTGGATGTTTTCCTGTCCAGGAATATGTGCATGCTTTTCCACTGTGCACAAGGAAATGTTCTCCTTCCAAGAAATGCATCTGTTTCAGAGTTATTTATAATGCTGAGGCTGTATCATTCCCTTGGCACTGCTGACTGGGTAAACAGGTAGATCTCAAGGAAGCAGCACTGGTACTTTAATCACCATTACATTAACTCAGAACTGCAATAATCTGGGAAATTAGGCTACAAATGTTAAAAGATAAAAAAAATCATTAAAATTTAAACAAAATGAAAAAGTTACAATCTACCCAGAGGAGGTTGCTGAAAGTCATGTAGCTACATTTCTACAGCGTGAGAAGCTGGAGAAGTTGCAACTATAACAATGATGATGGAGTATTTTTGTGAGAAATATCAAAGATCTATGCTTCCCCTTACTAAGTGACATTGTCCTGTCTTTGGCTGAGTGGAAGCAATCTCTTTTTGGCAAATCAGTGTTGGATGTTTCTTTATCACTTTCCCTGAGGTATCAACTGTTTCATTATTTGGTCCATTTTCTTTCCAAGCATTGAAGTTAGGATGACTTATCTGGATTTCACCTTTCTTTCCATGACAGCAATGTTTGCTCTCTTTTTCTCTTCTGCTGCTTTTCCTCCACAAGATCATAGAGACACTCTCCTATCATGCAGTGATTCCTTTTGGTACTTACTGATGTACCCTGCAGCACAGCTCATCAGTCCCCCCTGGCTTGCAGGCATTCCACTTACTCAAATATTATTTAACTTATGCTGACCTGCTCTTTTTCTCTGCACTATGAATTTCAATTAAGTTCATAATCTGATTGTAGATGGGTTTTGGTTGTTTGTTTTTGTGGGTTTTTTTTTCTTTTTCCCTTTTCTCTAGTCTGGTTGAAGCAAAAGGGCATTGTACCCAGGAAGAAAGATAAAGCCATCACATAGATGAAGCAGCTCAGGTACATAGTTAGGGACTTACATAGCATCAGCTGGTCATGAATTACAGAGAGAAATTCTCCCCAGCCTAGATGTCTCCATTCAGCTGGAAAGTGTTACTGTTCCAAAGCTAAAAATGACATAAAAATCAAAGGGCGTCCAAGATTTTAAGAGTGCTTGAAAAGAAGAGAGGAGCTTGGGTAAGTAAGGCTAATGTGAGTTAGTAAAAGGCTGACAGTCTCCCTGTCCCACAGAAAGCCAAAGTGAGATTTCCCAGAAAGTCAGGGAGACAAAGATGTGGTGACAGAGTGAGATTTTTACCTCTAAAGGATGAAAGGATGTGAATTCATGAATGTAAACTTAATACCCTTGCACTTAGCCTGACTGTGGTTGTCATACTTTGTTCTGAAATCTTTGTACCTTAAAGGAATAAGTAAATAATGTTTTGTGCTGAAAGCAGTTGCTTTTTTCACTGCAGATCTATGCAGCTATAGGCAGCTAAAAGGCAATTTTACAGGGTCCAAGTACTTGATGAACCTATTTAAGCAGACACAATGAGAACTTTCAGGCTCTGAGGAAGATTTTGTGCTGGAGAAGGATACCCAGAAAATCAATCTCATTGTTTTTTTGGGAGCATTTTGGAGAGATGGGGAAGCAGTCAAGGCCTTCAGTCGCTTACCATGGGACTGAAATCCAGAGACAGCCCAGCCAAGAGCTTTGACTGATAAAATTGAATATGTGTAGAGTGAGTTTTCATGTCATGGACACTCTTTATGCAAGAAAGACAGGATGAGTGACCTTGCACCACTCTCTCTAATCATACATCATTACACCTGGAAATCATGGAATCACAAAAGGCTTTGGGTTGGAAGAAACCTCAAGGATCATCTAGTTCCAAAAATCCACAGTTGCCCAATTGTGTTTTGCTTCAACATGGATCACTCAGTTAGACATCAGACTGAATTCCTCATTAAGATATTTGAAGGCTGATTAGTTTGTTTCATAAGCACTCAAAGGTAATGCTGAGGAAAGTTGCACCTGAGGCTGGGATACCTCTGTGTCTTTGATTATCCCTTTATTTACACTGTGGACTTGAGGCAGCTACTGTCTAGGTGTAAACACAGAAGGATAGCAGTTTTGGCCCTGGAAAATAATATAATTAATTTTTTTTTTTAACTATTGTAAATATTTACATAATCAATTAATACATATCAGGTTTCAGAAGGATAATTTGTCTGTTTTTGAGCTTGGTTCATTATATGAATTTGCTGTCCTTGTACTATGAATCCTCAGTGCAACAGCCTCATCTTAAATCCTACAGAGATTATAAACTCTTCAGTGCAAGGGAGACTTTTATTAGACACATATAAACCAGCAAACATTCTACTGGAGCCAAGAATTTCCTTGCCTCACTTCATTATGTAAAGAGCAACAATAATAATGATGAATTGACTAAAGACTGTAAAATGGAAAATAACTCAGAGTAACTGATTAAATTTAAAACTGATAACTTGCATTTGATTATCAACACAAACTCCTTACAATGACACTGATCAGGATGTGTCACAGTCTCCCAGGAAAAGCATTAAGCCACCTGTCATTTGTGTTCTTTTTGGTCAGAGTAGATAATATTCTGTGTGCAACAATCAAGCCTGTATTAGTCCAATGGGAATGGATAGTGATTTTCATCTGTGATTTCAATTTCAAAGATGGATAGAGTGTATTTCTTTGTATAGAAAGTGCAGAAGTTTGTGAAGGGAGTTTTATGCATCTCCTGAGACAGCAGAGATTTGTCTGGAATTAGAAAAGCAGAGGGCAGGGGCAGGAGGGAAAAATGATGGAGATGCCAAGAGCTCTTTATATTCAACTACAGCTGGATCAGTTGTTGGTCTACTGTTGTCCTGATAACAGAATCGAGTTGGTAAGGGATCAGACCTTAGACATTTTGTCTAAACAATGTGAAAAACAAGAAGTAATGAGGAATGAATGCAGGGACTCGGACTGAAGGAAGCAGAGGAGATGGAAAAAAAGTAGTCTGGCCAAGAATGTAAATTGGATGAGAAAAAATAAGCAAAACCTAGTTTAAGCTAGACTCAGGCAAAGGAGAAAACAGGTGAGAAACACAATCACATTAAGGTAAAGCTCTGGAAACATAAAGCAGCCCTGCCAGAGGTGTTGAGACTATCAGGAAGAGAAAAGCTGCAATATGGATTTCTCAGGACTTTTGAGATGGGCACAGAGAAATTGTGCCCTACTTACCTGGAGGTTAATCCATCCATTCTTGTGAAGTAAAAAAATATTGATGAAGAAGGTGGATTTCTGGTTTTGGGGACCAGAGTACAATTAATAAGGATAAATGCATTTTTCATCTCCAGAATATGGAGAAGTTTGTGCCTGTTGATGAACAGCTATGGTTTGAGATCTGACCAAAGATCAGATGAGGATGCATCTTGCAGATGTCCAGCTAGTCCAACCCTCCACAAAAGTTAAGGAAAACAGCTCCAGCAGCTAACTGCCATCACGGAAGATGTGTTTGAGATAGTACTAAAAAAGAGCAAAATAACTGGGTATCAAACCTGGGGCACATAAGATCTTCAAGGATCCCCACAGTGATTTAACTGCTGTTTGCATACTCATCAATAATGACTTTTGAGGGGGATGCTCTTTGTGTCAGCTCAGACATCCCAGAGTCCTCCTTCTGTGTGGGAAATTTGGAGGAGGATGGGTGCTTGTGAGTACTCTCAGTGTGAACATTGCTAAGGCACTCAGATGGAAAGGATGAGGGTTCAGCTTCAGTCCAGTGTGCCCCAGAGGCCACCAAACAGCATTTGAACAGGTAAGCTGCAGGAAACAGGAGAAAGCTGGAACAAGTGAGCATCTGCTTGTGCTTGTTAGCTGGTTTAGTTAATAAGAACATAGATGCTCTCCCTCCTCTAATTACTTAGCTCGAGTGTGATATCTTAATATTAGCATTAAGGATAATTAGCAGGAAGTAATAGTTTGAAAAGACAGCACAGTAACATGGCAAACAGAAGAAACCAAATTTTTACATGCTTTTACATTCTCAAAACACAGAATGTGATGTGGTCCAGTGAGCCCACTGAAGGGGATGCTGTCATCTCTAAAATGAGACATCACCACAGCAGTTAAAGCAGCACTGCAGGAGAATGAAAGCCTGGGGACAGCAGCCCATCTTCTGAGTATACCACACACACTGTACCAGCCATCAGAGAGTCCTGCAGGCATTTTAACTGCAAAGGACAGCATTCTTCTAGAGTAGGGAGGAAGTTGTCCAGGGCTGTGTTACCAAACTGCAGAATATAAAGAGCTGCACAGCAGCCTGCCCAGTGTCCTGGAGCTCTCAGTGTGCTGTGAGTCAGTGCAGGGATGTGGATGCAGCCTTGAGCCACCTGCTGACCCTGCCTGCAGCAGGGAGGCTGGACCTGATGATCTCTAGAGCTCCTGTGATTCTGGGTATGTTCATCAAAAAGTTCCAGGGAAACTTCCAAATCACAAGCTTGGTTTGATTTATTATTTACTTATTTGTTTGTGTGGTTTGATCTGGCATGGGAAGTCACATTTAAGGATTTTTTTAATACCTTGACTTTCCTCCCATTAAAACAGAAGAAAAGTACCAAGAACTTAATAGGTCCAGGAAACCAAATTTAATTTTTGGACTTCAAGAAATGTTTGGACAGCACTCCTGGGCACATGGTGTGACTCTTGGGGATGGTCCTGTGCAAGGCTGGGAGCTGGACTTGATGATCTTTGTGGGTCCCTTCCAACTCAGCTTATTCTTTGATTCTGATTCTGGGAATTTCTATGCACTTAGTGAGCCAAAGTACGTGATGTTTAACCTTTCAGTTCAGTGAGAAGTTTCTTGGTCAAAGACTTTGGGAGCTGTTCTGTGTAACACTTTCAAATTTATGAATAGAAATGAAAGAAACTGCTGAAAAGTCAGTGTCTGCTTCATGGCAGCCTGCACCCACACAAGGATTGGAGTACTGTAGTGAGACAGAAACAGACAGAAGGAAGAGTTAGTTAAGAGAATTATGAGGTGAAGTATTCTTTTATTAGGTTTGTAATACAAGGAAAGGTATAATTTAAAAGGGCATTTAGTGCCTTAGAAAAGGGGGGAATGGTATAAACTGAGAGAAGGTAGGTTCAGATTAGAGATAAGGAAGAAATTCTTTACTGTGAGGGTGGTGAGGCTCTGGCACAGGTTGTCCAGGGAAGCTGTGGCTGCCTCATCCCTGGGAGTGTCCAAGGCCAGGTTGGACAGGGCTTGGAGCAGCTGGGATAGTGAAATGTGTCCCTGCCCATGGCAGGGGGTGGAACAAGAGGATCCTTGAGGTCCTTTCCAGCCCAACACATGCCATGATTTTCTGATTCTATGATTGCTGACACGGAAATGCAGGAGGAACCACAGAATTGTGTTGCAGTGAGAGGCAGGTGGTTACACAGGAAACTGAGATCAATGAAAAAGTACAAGAGAGCATGGCAGTGTAGCATAAAATTCTGGCAAATCAACCTTCTGATTAATCCATTAGGTTAGAGAGGGTCTTTTGGGTTGATTAAAGGTTGCAGACATACACTTGGAAAGTGGGAGATTTTAAAATCCTCCTGCTCATCCTGACTGGGAGCTAAGCAGCAAGAGAGCAGCCAAGGGCAGCCACCTGATGTGAATTCAGGGATGCTTTAGTGCCACAGATGAGCTGCTGGGAGCTGCCAGGGCTCCTCAGATGGTTGGGACCTACAAGTGGCAACATCCCAAGAAATGTCTTCTAGATTTTTCTGTGACAGGTCTTGACATATGTAGAGCAGGAAGACTTTGCAGCCTGGTAATTCTGATTTCTGCTGATACAAGTTGAAGCACAGGCTTTGCACTTTATTAAGGCTTAGTCCAGACTGATGGCTAGTTTGTCTTGCCCAGGTTGAGTGGGTTTTATTTTTTTTAACTATAGTAATTGTCTAGTGGTCAGGTAATTATGGTCCATGTGTGTTTTAGATCAGCTTCAGGTCACAGTGAAAAAAAAGAGTGCAAATTGAATAGCCTGTAAGTTTGAAATAAAATGTGGTGTGAAAGATTACAGGCATGGGATGATAACAGACCTCAAACTATAAGCACAAATCTTAAAGATCAGTCAATGGTCACTGAAGAAATGCAGCCCTATGTTTCTCAGGTAAATGCTAGTTTTAGAGATAACAAAAAGAGAAAAGCTGCATAATGAGCATTATTAGAAAAAAAGAATGTGTTAAGAAAAAATATAAAAATAAATCCCAGCAGACCCAAAAGCAAAGTATCAGCATCAACATCACACACCTCCCAAAGGAGAAGGTGAAGACACCCCACCACAAATATTATACTGCCTGTGATAGACATCTCAGGGTACTGGCAACATGTCACAACTCACCTCCTGCTCTTCCTGAGTAAGGATGAGAGGGTCAGCCATAGGAGATAGACAGGCATTGAAAGAATGAGCACAAATTTTTAAAAAAGGGAGTTTTGTTTTGGTTTAAATGATGATTTTTTTGACTGGATGAACAATGGATTCATAGCACTCCATGTCCCTGTGAGGCATGTTCCCTCCTTGCCCATAGCAAGAGTCTGAGTGTGACAGTTTAGAAGTCCATCATCAATCTATAGAAAGTAGCAGTGAGCATTCTGGTCCTTTCTTTCTGGTTCTTGCTTTTCCAATTCCCTGGGCCTCCCACTGGACATGTGTGAGTTAAATAGTGGTCTGAAAAGAGACTCTGTGGGAGATCAAATCTGATCTGTCTGTTCTGGGCAATGGGGATGTATTTTCTGAGGTCTTAGCCTGCAAAAATTTACCTGTGCAGACACTGGTCTGGCTACCTTCCTGTCTAATTAATTATTTACCATAAAAGTGTGAATTTTACCAAAGAAGAGTGCCCTCTGCTTTTCTTCTTCACGCCTGCTTTCAAGGTTTTCAACTTCTGTCTGCAGCAACATTTAGGCAGGAGCAAAATTTTTTATAAAGGGGGAGAATGAGTGCCCCTTCCTTGTGCAAGCAGCTCATGAAGTCAAACCCACATAAAAACCTGTCACTGACTTGGAAAGAAAACTTGTGTGTATATCATAATTGCTATCAAAATTATTGTACATGGGTGCAAGAGATCACCTGAACTTCTGTTGTGCAGACAGTAACAAATCTATAACTTAACATGCAATGTGCAATAGATGCAGCTGAAATAATTTCTCATTTTCCTGAGACTAGAGGACTCTTATCAGATTTCTCACTTATGTCTGTAATGGTGCAAATGAAGGCAGAAAACAGAAGAGGTCTGCTCTGAAGAGCCTCTGCTTGTATAAGGATGTTGTTCGAAGGATGTGAGATCTGAAGGTGTCTCTGAAAATTATGCATGGTTTTCTCTATTGTATGAAAACAGCTCATAAGCTGATTACCCCATGCCCATTGTATTTCAGTCTTCAGTGCAATTTGTCTTTTCCTATTCATCATATATGCTTTAGAACAAGATTGTGTATAGTGTTTCTTTTGAAAAGCTGTTTTTTTTTTTTCTTTTTAAATTGTCTTGCAAAAGCCTTTTTTCCCCCCCATGTAATCTTTTGAGAGCCATACCCACTTGTGCTTGAGGCAATTTCTGAATATTTAGTTTTCAAAGGAAGGTGGAAAAACAGGACAGAGCACTGGCTTTAGAGCCTTAAATGTCTGAACTCTTTATTTTTTTTTGGGTCCTCTTTTTAGGACCCAACTGAGCACATACCTAATCTAAACCTCTGCCCCTTGTCTGTCACTATCTGCCCATATAAAAAGTTAAATCCTTCAGTAACTCTCTGCACTGATCCACAGATGTTGACTGCTGTTTGTAGAATGCTTTTCAGACATTTTTAAGCCAGTGTTTTTTAAAAAAGAGAGAATTTTAATTTACACATCCATAGTAATCTATGCATTCATGGTAATTTACATGAGCTGGGTTCCCAAAAGGTTTTGATGAAAATGTATTGGCATATCTTAATTATTTTTGTTTGACTCCCAGTCCAGAGAGTGTGTTCCAAGCTTTGATTTAGGAGGATTTTAAACATTCATACATAATTTTGAAATGCTTACTTCACCCCCTGAGCTGCTCTCTTTAGAAAGAACAATTGATTAAAATAACTGCTTAGGCATTTCCATCTTTCTTTTTGCTATTGAAAACTCCCCACCTCAGCAATTCTCTGCCAAAGTGTAAGCACATATCTCTCATCTGTTCACTTCAGTGTGAGTTAGTAAACTCTGGACAAAAAATAGAAAAACACATCAGGGATGAAAAAAGCACATAATTTTAAATGAAAATATAAATTAATAGCACATTTTCACAGGGGTTGAAGAACTTGTCTTATGGACTGTTATCTGTGGAAAGGACCCTGGCACAGTAAAAAAAAGGTCCTGAAGCAAAGAATATATTCTTTTGAACATCTAGTTTCCATAGTGCTGTGCTTAGCTCAAATCATAACGTTAACAGCAAAATGCAGCATTTTATTTGATTTTTATTTCTGGAAAACTTATATATCCTGGTTTTGTTGCTTTTTTAGAGTGACACTGGGACTGCTGAATCTTTACAGCCATTAAACATCACTGTCTGGAAGGATCTGTTAAAACATCATGGGAAGGCATCCTGGCTCTTCTGGGAGAGCAAAGCCCTGGGAACCTTCGGGAGCACCATCTCCTCCTTGGAGGCAGCACCGACTCAGGATTGTGTTTTCCAAGGTTATCATGTGCCATCCAGCTCAGTCAGGATAAAATAATAAATTAAGCAAACAAACCTACCTCAAAAAACAAACAAACAAAACCCCTACCAAATCAAAGTACTTTTGTGACAAGAAAGAAGCAGAGTCCAAAGGGTTAGAAACACACAGTCCCCACCAGCCAGGGAGCATCAGCTGGGCTGCCCAAATAGCTGCAATTAACCTCCTGCTGAGACTGGTGTGGATCACCTCCCCTGTGCTGCCTCCACAGCCTCCCCCAGACTGCATTTTCTACTTGGGTTGTAAATGTTTGAGAGGCTGCTGTTCAGTGGTATTTAGACTGTGCCCAGCATGATGGGACCCAGGAGCTTTCATCAAGTCCTGGTGGCCAACTTGACCACAGGAAGGTTGGGGGTTGCATGCACTGATCCTGCATCAGCCAGCAGCTGGACATTCAGGTTCTGGAACAGTTCTTGCTCTTTGTGTTTGGGTGTGTGAACTGCCTGAAGCTAGCCTTCAGAATCTGGCATGGCTGTGAATTTTTTATTCCTGGATGAAAATGTTTGAGGACAAAAGTATCATTAGCCCTGATTTTCCCAGACTGATATGCAGACAGAAGGAAGGTGTAAAGTTACTCTTCAGAGTCATAATTTGAGGAATATTATGGGTCCTGTCTGTACTGTCCCACATTGTTTGGAGTGATGTGGTTTACTGTGGTTATTGCTAAAAGTCAAGACTCATTTGCTGATACTCAGAGATTCTTGTAGCTCCCCTGGCTTCCATATCCATGGCAGAGTAATCTTCCTAACCGGTGATGGATGAGAAAGGTGGATACCATAGCTCTGTTTATTTGCAGGGAAGATGATGGACCTTTCAGAATAAAAAGTGTATAGGGAAAAAATTGGATATTCATTTATCTCCTTGTAAAACACACCCCCACAAAACCAATAAAGTCTCTTCAGATTAAGATCATGGACTCTTCAAAGCAGAAGAGAGAGGGAACTGGTGTCCCCAGTGGCATTAGTGACAACAGACATTGTCCTTGGCTGTAAAACTGGATTGTCTCCATGTACAGTCCCATTGTGATCAGCAATCCAGGCCTGGCAGGTTGCACTTTGAATAGCTGGCTTCAGTTTGGAAAAAAATGTACCCTAGCATATTTAATTTATTAGTGTATATTCAGCCTGATTAAATTCCAGAATGTTTCTGAAGTTCTCATGTTTCCTTGCTGGATGTCTGCTACTGAATTTATCTATTTCTGCTGGTGCTGATAAAAGCTCAGCTCCTGCAGCTGCTCAAGACAGAAACAAAAATAAATAAGTTCAGGAACCACTCTAAGGCTAGACCCATTGGTTGACAGCAATTGTGAGTAGGTTTGCTTGCCACAATAGCAGGGTTTAGAAAAACACTGGAGACAAGAGTGCCGCAAATGTGACATTCATCAGTACATCTGAGGAGAGGCTGGAAATAAGCACTGATGTTGCTGAGCATCTGTCAGTGCATACATGGAGGCGTCGGCCAAGTGGGAAACATCTGCATCTTCTCCAAATGAGGATCAGTGGGAAAAAAATTAAAAATTCTGAAGATCAGGCTTTTTTTAAAAAAAAACGACTCATGGGTGTGAGGCAGCACAGACCAAAATGTCTGTGTAGTCAGGAGATCCATGTAATTCTGATGACCTTGACTTGGGACTATGTTATGGGAAAGCAAAGCCTGGAAGTGGCAGGACATGGGAAGAGGACAATGCAGAAGAGCTGGGTGTATGTGACAGGCAGTTAAGCAGCACCAAATAAACACAGCCAGAAAATACAGCAAATTGTGGCTGGTTTAAGGACTTGGAAGGACCAAACTAAGTTTAGGTGTCTGTCTTGCTGCAGCAGGGATTCATGTGTTGTGCCCTCAGCTGGTGCTTTGTAAGGACTTCTGGTGGTGAAAGATGAATGATTGAAGAAAGGATTTTGCAGAGTGAATCACAGAGAACCATAAATTCTACACAGAGTCTGATAGTGGCAAACAGCAAGGTCTTGCAGAACAGTTTTGAAACAAGTGAAGAGATAACATGAAGAGACCTTGAATTAGACACTAGGTGCTGTGTTTGGCAATGTAACAGAAGTTTTATGCAAGTTGCATAAGTCAGCACAAAATGTGTGCTTTAGATGAATTTAGGTCATTGTAATGTGAAAACCACACCTCTAGAGCTTAGTCTATCCACCTCCATGTGAGACCCTGACCCAATGAGCAATGAATTGCAATGAATTTAAAATGCACTGTGTGTCTCTGTTAACTAATTTAGCCCCTACCTGCATTATTGTCATCTCCCAGATGTCATAGGCTGGGTGATCTCATGGCTTTCATTCCTCTCTCACGTTCCCTTGCTCCCTTTTGGCACAGAGCTGGGAGTGCTGTCAATGGAATTAGGGCTGTTAAAACTTGCTGCACTTTCAGCATGATCTTAGAAAAGTTCTTCTACTCCATACAATGGATGTTCATAATGTATCTCAAATCATTATCATAATGTATCCCAAATCATTATCAAAATCATAGTGAGCAAGGTTTGATAAGGCTTGAATAACCTCTCAACATTCCTCGCTGTAGGTTATCAGATTTCCCTGGACTTAGGCTCTACATCATGCACTGAAATTAGGATAGAACATAAATGACTGGGCTTTCAGAATCCAAACATACCCAGAAACCCCATCACTGGTTCTGCATAAAATCAGTTTTTGCTCAGATGTTGAAACACAAATGTGGGGGCATTATTTTAGGAATCAACACCTCAATTGCTGGGCATGTGCATGTGGGGATTTTGGGGTCATCTTCCTCTATGAAAAGAGAGCAAAGACAAGGCAAAGGACAAGCAGGGCACAGAAAAGAAGCAAGAAGAATCAAAAAGGTACATGATGAGAGAAGGATGGATGGAGGAGGGGGACTCTTTAAACGTGGGTACTTAAAGTAAGAATACTCCTTTCTTTAAAGAAATGAGTAGAATACAACACATTCACGTGTGCCTTTTTCAACTCTGGAATCTGCTCAGTCCCTAGGTGCCTGCAGTAATGCTGACCCTAATCTCCCACTTATCTCTCTGTAAGATTTCTAAGCCTTTCAGTCCTCCTGAGCAAACAAGGCACCTGGTCCCTTCCTTCCCTGCTGCAGCAGGTTGAGTCCGGCCGAGTACACCCATCTCATCAGGAGGAGGAGGAGACACTTTTGGGAATGATAAAACAACGAGCAAAGCAAGAGCTGCCAGGGCGGCTGGTGAGTGTGGAAGTGATGAGCTTCTTATTGATTGCACAGGAGTCTTGCTTGGAGAGACGGCTGGAAATTTTTACCTTTGAAAACATTACACTGAGAAAGCTGAGAAGACAGCAGGAGCCAGGGCTGATAAGAGGGATCAATGCAGAGCATGGGTGGAATGAGGTTATTAATAAGTAATAGGATTCAACTTGGGAGCTAATGAAATAAAAAAGACATTTTCTAGTTGGGGCATCTCACAGGCACTTGATTGCTATAGCAATAGCAATGAAGAGATTAGGAACAATGAACTGTACAGCAAAAATGGGCTCAAAATCCCTCCTCGTGGCAGAATCTAGTTAAAAGAATGGCTAAAACAGAACAGTTTTCTAGAAGATATGTATTTCAGGATATTTAGCAGGGGCTGTAACAGGAACCTGTGATCTTTGGAGCTTGTAAAAATTGAAAATTATGCTGGCAAAAAAAAAAAAAAGCCATATTAGTTTGCAATCTCAATCCTTCTGGTTGTCATGAACAGTGTGACAATGTCACACAGCTGAAAACTGGATGTTTAGTCTCTACAGATTTCTTAATCTGCAGACACTGTCTCCCATTATACAGTATGATCTTTCAGCCTTTGGCATCTTTCCCTGAAGGACCACTTGCTATCATCTTTAGAGGAAGAGGCCTGTAGCTGTGAAAGGAAGCTACTTCCCCTCAACTTCATTGAATCCCAACAAAGCTGAAGGAGGGTAGACTTAGCCTGGATGTCAGGAAGGTTAGATATTAGGAGAAATTCTTTACTATGCAGGAACAGGTCACTCACAAGTCATAGACTCCCCTTATCCCTGGAAGTGTCCAAGTCCAGGCTGGATGGGGCTCTGAGCAACCTGTGGAAGGTGTCTTTGCCCATGGCAGGGGGGTGGAAGAAGATGATCTTTAAGACCTTTCCCAAGCCATTCTATGATTCTTTGAATGTCTAGTCTTCTTATTCAATCCTCTATGATGTGTGCAAAACTGGGGAGAGCTCTATTTAACTCTATATATCTTAAAGATTTATCTGTGACTGTTCTGTATCCTTTTTCACTACATTTCTTAGGATTTTTCTAAAAGTAAAGCATGCTTTTATCTTTTCATGATGTATTTGTCTTGAGATCTCCAGTATCTTTTGACAGAATAGAAAATTGCTACTAAAATAGACCAGCTTATTCCAACACATACATACCTGTAAAGTGGGACACAAATGAGAATACTGGTCTTATTTCTGCAATATGAAAATGTAGGTAAGGAGGAAAATCCCACAAGAAGGTGATTACACACCTTTGTAAAGCTGGGGTCCTACTGGGTGGTTTTCCAAATGAGGAAAGCATTTCAGGTGCTTATTGGAGTAATGGGAAAAGAACCAGAATTTCTATTCTAGTTTCAGTCATGATGCCTTCCCAGCAACTGGGAGAGCACTCAAAAAACTGTGAGAGGCCTGAGGTACAGTGCTGAGAGGGAATCTGTGTGGCAGAGGGCATAGGACAAGTTCTCTGTCTGAGCTACACAAACCTTCCACAGCTTGTCAGCATAAAGAAGCTCTTCAGGATTGTGCTGTGAGATTAAACCTGCACATTTGGGATGTGGGGTGCTGGTGGCTTTGCAGGTGTGTGGCACCATCTGAATCCTTGGGTAATCCAAAGCAGATTGGTTGTGGTGCTGCTGTCACAACATGGCCAATGAGAATGGTGTTCTGGGAATGTTTCCTCACAAACTGACAGAAGTAAGACCATAGACAAGAACAGCTTCCTCCATGATCCACACTTTTCAGTCAGCGTCTTTTCTTTATGAGGTGATGGTTTGATGTTAGCCTTAAGATCACAGAGATATTTGTTTAGTCTGCTTGCAATATGGGAACCATATCAGGAGATGTTAAGTCTCCTTAACCCTCCTGAGTCTGAGCATTTGGAGATTAAGAGCTGATGTCTGCTAATTCCTTTCATGTTTTGTTTTGTTTTTTTTTTTATTCTGTAATGATGGAATGGACCAAATGTCCTGCAAGGCACAAAGAGGGCTTGATTTTTAATTATTTAAAACAAGTAAGAGGTGTGACTTAAGCCCAACATTGGTCTCCACAGACAAGAGGAACTAAAATCCCTGAGTTTAGTATATACAGTATAATTTATACATACCTCCACTACACAATGTGGTGTTCATTGCTCTAAAATGGCTGAAGATCACCTTGAATGATGTTTATTACCTCCCTTGATTCCTTTGA